AGCTTTTCAAAAAGTATGGAACTGGAAAAATTGATAAATCATTCGAGTAACATCCAATAAAACTCCAGTTTTTTTTTTGGCTTTCTTAGGATTCGTCTGAATGGCTGTATGAAATTATGTGGATAAGAGAGACCAAAAACCAAGAGAAAAATGGAGAAACTGCCAGCTGCAAGATGAAACGTTACGATGAAACAAACGATAGCTGATCAAGGTATAAGTTTCTCAGCTCATCCAACCAGAAGACTTAGATATATAAAAACAAATTTAATGCTGTATATTTTATTCGCATAGAAACTAAATACATTAAGAATAAATCGCAAGAAAGAAAAAGATAATATAAATATGGTGCTTTCCCAGAAAATACAGCATTTGCTTTGCCTCAAAACAATTCAAGATAACGGTTTTTTTCTTGGATAGCTCCATAACATCTAGTCAGGCAAAATGAAGTAAAAAGTAGACAGAGTTGCATAAAAGTGTTGCATTATAGGGCAGCGTAGACCTCCAGCGTGCATGATTTTCAATTTTTGCACGAAGCCTGGTAGTTTTTTTCCAGAGAATGCTCGTTCATTGAAAAAATGCAAATTTGAAGGAAATCGGAAAAGAATTATGAGACGAAAAAAGCGGCTACGACCAGTCAACTGTAGTATTTAAGTTAAATTCAATTATATTACTTAGAATGGAAAACTCTAGAACGGAAACTACCACGCTGTCTCCTCTAATAACAGAAAGGACTCCCATACAAAACAGTTTTAAGAGACGTCTGGATGACTGAGAGTGCACTTATCTAGAGTCTAACGATCGCACAAGATTCAAAGAAAAAATCCATTGGGCTGAGACAGCGACGACGACGACGTCTATCGGCCTGTTTTCCTAGCTGCACATCCGTTGTCCGCACAAAGCCCCCCACCATATTTGCCAGAATGCTGAACAACTGCACTAGCTGCTTTTCTCCCAAACTCTGAGTAAACATCTAAACTCTTCCTCTGTTCGCACCCCCCGCTAATGCTTCCATTCATTTTAGCAGTGCAAATTTGCTATATTTTGTGACGGTGAAAGAAATCTCGTTTTCATGCAATCAGCAGTTAGTAAAATCACATAAACACAGGGGAGGGGGCCCGTCGCCCCCTTCCCCCTGCCTTCTCCCCCCAGTGGCATAGGCTTCAGTGCTACAAAAGTCTGGTGGAGTTAAAACTGAAGAAAACTCTTCCGCATCCTCCCCCGTCGCCCCCGCCTCCAGGAGCCCCACTTCTTTCCCCTCCACTCTCCGTCGCCGCTTGGAGCCTCACTCCCTTCCGCCCTCCCTCCACACGTCGTCCTCCCTCCACTCCCAGGAGGGCCATCCAGGATCCGCCTATGCTGATGAGCATTGGAATGCTGCTCGTCTCGCTGACAACCAGTGGATTTCGCGCATTAATGGATGATACCCTCCACAACATATGAGAGGTTTTTAGCTTTTGATCCGCCAGAAAGAAAGGTTCAATGGCCAGGACATATTGCTCGTTTTGTTCAATAATCGTTAGACGTCACGTATTAAACAGTGGTACTCACGGAAAGTAAAATTCGGGACCTTCAGCATATTTGCTCGCCTTGCTGACAACCGATGGACACAGCTCATCAGCGAGTGGTATCCACAAAAAAGTAAAATCCAGTAGGCAGGGCATATTGCTTGCCTTACTAACAACAGCTGGTGGATATTGTGCATTAGTGATTGATACTTGTGAATATCAATCACTAGTATCAATACATCTCCACTTTTTCAGCGTAAATCACGAAACCTCAGAAAGCACTTGAGTCACAGTCATTATTAAAAGGCAGCTTTTTTCGAACTTTTTTGAAACAGACGATTAAAATGGTAGTAAAATAATAATGTACGATGAAAATTAAAACGCTGTTGATCAACAAAATAATTGAAAAACCAACCAGCATCCAGCGCGCTGCTCTCAAACAGGCCCCCATCGATGCTAATCCTTTAATGATCCTTTGTATGTATTTTTGAATGAATGAAATGATGTCAGCAGCACAGGGAGCTGCTGAGCCAGCCTCCAAATCTCACACCCCCAACAACTGTGGGGCAAAAGCATCAGCCTCAGGAGGGAGCGGAGGGAAACTGAGCCGTTCTGGAGCAGCTGCGAATACATAATGAAGCTGGAGGAATGCACACTGACTGCTGCTGGTGTTGGAATGTAAAATTTTTATAACATCATCGGGGAAAAGTTTCAAAAAACTTCCAAAAAGCCCGTCTTTTTCATCAAAAATTGGAGAAATTAGAACAGAAAGTACGCAGTATCTCTTTAATATTAAATGCTGCAATACTTAATAAGCTAAGCAGAACTATAAGTGCTATCTAAAGAGCAGATATTAGCTAACACTGAGGCAAACTGGGGATGCTAAAATCTGGAACCTACAGCAGATAGGACGAAAAAATAATAATTTAGCTAAGATTAAATTGTTTAAAAGCTACAGAAAATAAATCAGAGAATGACCAGAGAAGTGGGGTGATGGTAAACGGCCAAGGAAAGTAGACTGGGTGAGTGTTAAGAGTGGCAAAGGGAAAACGCCAGTTGAATAAAAGCATAATTACTGAAAAAAATTAGGGTGATCGAAAAAAAGTTTAGCTTCCAGAGTTCCTCCATGTTGAGGAAATTTGATTAAAAAAATTCTGTAATGAAAAATAGATTTTAATTTATAAAATTTTGAAAAAAAATTAAAAACCTTGCAATTTTATTCAAAAAATCGAGGATTTCCTACACAGCCCCTAGAATAAAGAACATAACTTCCCTCCCCACAGGTTATAGCAGTTACAGCTGATATACAGCTATATTTTGAAAACCCAAAAATTAGTGCTTCTTTTGCCTCAAATCTAAGTGCATTTGAAATCGAACACCAACTAGGGGGTTAATAAAGTACGGGTAAACAGTAGCGCCTGTCACGAAAGCTAATAGGCCTCACAGCTTCTCACATGATGTGTTGAATGTAAAAAGCAGAAAAGCTCATCCGTGGGATGAGCAGAACAAAATGAGGCCAAAAGGGAGGAGGAGTGGGGACGGCAAAATCGTAAGAATTATGAATTGCAGTACGTCGAAAACATTCAGGTTGCTGTAATCGTGCCGATTCTATAGTATAAAACAGCGATGCGTAGCAAGGGACTGTAGCAAGAATGCATTTTTGCATGGTGCTATACAATAACCAATTAAAAAACAAATGCTGAGTACTAGAAGACTTACAGAAGGCCAGAGGACAATAAGTCAAAAACCTCCTTCCTACTCATTCTCTGCGACTAGGAAATTTCGAAAGAGGGAATCATCGAAAAATAATGCTGCATTGCACTTAAAGCAGACAGAAAAATCACCAACTAAAACAATCGCAAAAAAACGCATTTAATCGCGTAAACTTTAGGCACAAATAACGATTTCATCGATTTCTGGTCTTTTTCCGTGAAGCTATTAAAAAAAATCGCAAAAACATGAACGAAATAGCACGCGATAATACAATCAAGGAAAATGTTATCGAAGTATAACTAAAAGTATATTTTTTGAGTATTTCAGTAAGTGAGAATCACAAAAACAATGAACAAAAGTGTGTCCAACATAGCTTAGTTATCAAATATTACTAAGATACCAGAACACTCGAGAAAATCATAACTATGCAAAAACAGCAAGAAAAATACGATACAATTTTAAACAACAACTGATCAAAGTGTCAAAGTAATCAACAGTAGATGGTTTCATTTTTATGTATTTCATAAGCTCCCGTTTTTTTTTTTTTTACATATATTTAATACTAAAAATCCAAAATTGAACAATAAGCGTGGATATTTCATGCTAGTGATACTACTGATAATTATCTCGATTTCTATTACTTACGTCATCGATGTGAATCGATGGCAATGTGAAACCAAAAACTGAACAATCCGCGTAATAGCGAAAGAATGTCAAGCTCATTTTCGATACCCTGGGTTAGAATTACTAATGCCAAATTTAGTTTCTTTGCTCTTAGATTTGGAAAAATCCCAGCAGCTTCCCACATCAATAAGCTAAAAGTGGATGGCAAAGTTGGGGTATTTCATGCTAGTGATAATAACTCACGATTGATGATTATGATTTCTACTATTTACACAATCAATGTGAATCAGTGACAACGCTTGTGTTTGTTTGTTCGTCCGCCTGGAAAACTCCAAACCCCAAAATCCCCTTTTGTGGCAGCGCGAAAACGGAAAACTTGCCAATTTTTAACCGTTATTCATCGCCTCCCTTGTAACTCTTTTTACAGTGAGTTCCATTTTCTGATTATTTGAAAGGAATAACGGGTCGGCATAAGCAGTGAAATGCTGGGGATCCAGTGTCCTTCTCCTCCCCCGTCCCCTCAAACGAAGTTGAAGCTGCTGAGTTAAGGACCAAATAGTTTGATAATTCAACTTTACGTCTGTATCAGTCAATGATTTTACGCCTCCGAATTTTATAGCGGGTGACCGAACTAACAGCGTGAAAGTCTA